TTTATTTATTTAATTTGACAGGGTCTCCCTAGTCCCAGCTAGCCTGGAAATCACAATGTGAACCAGGGTGGCCTCAGTCTCACAAGAGATCCACCTGCCTCTGCCTCCCAAGGGCTGGGATTTAAGGCACTCACCAACATGCCCGGCTCCACCTAGTTTTTGAGACTGGCTCTTTCACTGAACATGCAGTTCACCAACTGGCTTAGGCCTACTGGCCAGCAAACCCACAGAATCCTCCTGTCTTTACTTCCCAGTGATGGAATTATAAATGCGCTGCCACGCCCTGCTTTTTAACTTGGATTCTGGGGATATGAACTATGGTCCTCATGTTTGAACACCAGGCACTTTACCCACAGAGCCATCTCCCCGTCCTAGATGTGTAAACTTTTAAAAACCATAGATGAGGCTGGAGAGATGGTTCAGCAGTTAAGAGCACTGACTGCTCTTGCAGAGGCCCTGGGTTTGATTCCCAGCACCCACATGGCGGCTATGAACCATCCTTAACTCCAGTTCCAGGGGAATCAGAAACCCTCTTCTGACTGCCGTGGCATTGCACAACATGGGTGCACTCACATACATGAAGGCAATACACATAAAAATAATAAAGTATTTAAAAAAGACCAAAATGGGGGCTGGAGAGATGGCTCAGCGGTTAAGAACAATGGTTGTTCTTGCAGCCCCGGGTTCAAATCCCAGAATCCATATCGCAGCTAACAACTGTTTGTAACTCCAGTCTCAGGGGATCTGACAGCCTCTTCTGACCTCCATGAGCATTGCACGACATGGTTGCACTTACCTACATGGAGGCAATACATGAATACACATAAAATAAAAAAATATAATTTTTTTAAAAGACCAAAATGAATAAATAAATGAGATACAAAACAGTATGTATAATAAAATTTCACTTTATATATTCATTGAAGTGTAGAAAAAAATAAAGAGGTAAAGCAAAATGTTAGCAGTGTTTGTCAGTGGTTTATAGGCATATTTTATATTTGCTTTTTTACTTACAGAGTTTCTATGGACATTTATATAAGAAAAGTGTGCTTCTTTAAAAAGTAATAAAATCTGGGCATGGTGGCACATGCCTTTGATCCCAGCCCTTGGGAGGCAGAGGCAGGTGGATCTCTGTGAGAATGAGTCTAGCCTGGTCTACATAGTGAGTTTCAGGCAGCTGGGGCTACAGAGAGACCCTGTCTCAAAAAGACCAAAAAAAAAAAAAAATTAAAAAACAATTTTTTTAAAGTAATAAACAGCCACCTACCAGTCCATTTAAGTTCTTTATGTTGTTTCTTCCTAAAGACAATATCCTCAAGTTTTCTGTAGTGGAAAGAAAGCGTTTTTGTTTATGAGAAACATATTACAAAACTATTATAAATCTAGTATAATAAAGTTTTAATAAGTTTTTATAAAACAAGTATCTTCAGGGGCTGCAGAGATGGCTCAATGGTTAAAAGTTCATACTGCTCTTGTAGAGAACCTTAGTTTGGTTCTCAAGACCCATGTCTGGTGGCTCATAACTGCCTGTAACGATAGCTCTAGGAGATCCAATGGACCTGTGAGTACTTGAACTCACATGCACATATCCCCACTCAGACACGCATGTATAAACATATTTAAAAAGTATTTATAAATAAATATCTCTACATAGTGAATAAAAAGGCTATATTGTAAAAGTAGGCACTCGGGTTAGCAAGATGACTCAGCTGGTAGGCACCTGCTGCCAAGTCTGATGGCCTGAGTTTGAGGCCCAGAATCTACACGGTGGAAGAACCACATCCTACAATTTGTCTTCTGACCTCCACACCCATGATGCGGCACACACACGTGTACGTACGTACACACACACACACACACACACACACACACACAAATATAAGAATTATGGGGTTAGAGTGATGGTTCAGTGGTGAACAGCACTGGCTACTCTTTCAGAGGACCCAAGTTCATTACTTAGCACCCATATGGCAGCTAACGACAGTCTGTAACTCTAGTTCTAGGAGATCCCACCCCTCTTCTGGCCTCCAAGGCACTATACACATGTGGTGCACTTGCATGCATGCAGGCAAAACACTCGTACACATTAAAAAAAATAAAAATTTTAAAAGAATATAAGAATTAAATGAGATAATTAAAACATTCAGTAAAATGCCTAATGATGGTTAAGTACATAATAACAAATATCAAACACATATAACTTTGGTTTATATGTATTTAACAAATATTTCTCTTATGAGAAACACTGACCTTCAGAATAGTGTATTTTAAGAGTCATCTAATTCATGTAAAATGATTTCGCTATTGAAATAAGAGCCATGTTAAAGGCTATTATGATCACGTATGAGGGACACAGCAATTTTTCCCTTCTAGTGGTATCTTACTTATAATGCAGATAAAACGTGGAAAATATATCATTGTTACATATTAAGTCAAAATTTTACTTTCTCAGTCACACCAGTCACATTTCAAGCCTTACTAGCTATATTTGATCAGTAGCAGCCATAATTAGACACATTTGCATTTGTCCTCATCAAAATTCTTATGTTTAAGACTTAACCTCCAGTATCTTCTGGTGTGACTGTATTCAGAAATACAGCTTGTAAAGAGGTCTGTGAGTTATATGGGCAAGCCCTAATCCAGTATGACTCATATCCTTATAAGAATAGGAAATTGCCAGGCATGGTGGTGCATGCCTTTAATCCCAGCACTTGGGAGGCAGAGGCAGGCAGATCTCTGTGAGTTCAAGGCCAGCCTGGTCTACATAGTGAGGTCCAGGCCAGCTGGGGCTACAGGGAGACCCTGTCTCAAAAAAAGACCAAAAAGAAAAAAAGAATAGGAAATTAAGGACACAGATAGGTACATGGTGAAAACTATATGAAGACAGAGAGAGAAGCCAAGAGCTATCTATAAGCCAAGAAGAGTGGCTGAGGATATTAACTGTGCTAAAACCTCTAGACTCCAGAACTATGAAAAACAAATTTCTACAGTTTAAGCCACTCAGTCTGTAGAACTTTGCTTTGGCAATTTCAGCAAACTAATGAACCCCATATAGATAAAAATTTATGAAAACTGAAAAAAAACATATAACTATTCTTTAGAGCTTCTAGAAAACAAAAATTTATTATTTTCTCTTTTTTTGTCATTTCAAAAACTTATTCAGGGTCCAGGGTGTAACATAATGATGATATAATTGCCTAGTATGTATAAGGTCCTAGGTTTGATCCTTAGGACCACAAATAAGAAGAATTTATTCAAAGCAGGGTGTTCATTCCAGCATTTGGGAGGCAGAGGCAGGTGGATCTCTATGAGATTGAGGTCAGCCTGGTCTACAGAGCAAGCTCCAGGCCAGCAAGGGCTACAGGAAGACCCTGTCTCAAAAAACAAAAGAAAATGAACTTATTCAAAATTAATTAATTTAACACAGTTATCAAACATTTACCAGATGCCAGGAACAATAAGTAACTGTAGTCTTATAATGAATAATACAGACAAAATTCCTGCTATCATGAAGGAACACTGGGCTGATAATCAGTGTATTAGATAGTGGCAAGTGTGAGGGAGAAAAGAAGACAAAAGCAATGAAATGTCAGGGGCTGGCAGCAGCTGACAATCTAGACAGAAAGTGACTTCTAAGACCCAAAGGAAGTAAGACAGTCAGAGAACGTCAAATGCAAAGCAACAACCATATCAGAAATGTTCCTAAAACTCAAGAAGCTAACTGAACTGAGACAATGAAAGTAGTAATGAAAGTAGTAATAAGTAACATGGAATTAGGAAAAAATAGGCCTGTCAGGGGATATGGAAGAGGGGAGTCAAGAAATTACCAAGGGGGGCTGAAGACAGGGCTCAGCAGTTAAGAACACTGGCTGCTCTTGCAGAGGATGTGGGTTCAGTTCCAAGCGCCCACACTGGGCAGCTCACAATTGTAACTCCAGCTCCAGGGGATCCTATGCCCTTTTCTGGACTCAGCAGATGGTAAGTACCCACATGTATGTGTACAAACCCATATACAAACACCCATACATATACATAATTAATAAAAAAAATGTTTAAAAATGGGAAAGAAATTCATGTCAAAATTGCTGATTAAGGGGGCTGCAGAGATGGCTCAGTGGATTTAGTTCCCAGTACCCACACGGTGGCTAACGATCATCCATAACCAGTTCCCGGGGATCCAAGATCTTCTTCTGGACTCTGCAGGCATTGCAAGACACAGGTGCACTTACATACTGCAGGAAAAATATCCATACACATAAAATAAAACAAAATAAAAAATTTTTTAAAAACTGTTGATTGAGGGGGTTGGAGAGCACAGGACCTAGGTTTGGTTTCCAGCATCCACATGGCAGCTCATAACTGTTTTTATCTCTAGTTTCAGGGGCTCCAAAGACCTCTTCTAACTTCCAAGGGTTCCTGAATTCACATGGTACACAAACATACACTCAGGCACACACACATAAACATTAAAAAATTGTTGACTGACCAATTAAGGTCTAAGATCCTTGTGGATGACAAATATATGCAGTTCTCTCAAAGATAATATTGAACTTAATATATAAAACACCATGTGTGTGTGTACATGTTTGTGTATGCATGTGCATAGAGAAGTCAGAAGTCAATATCCTCAATTGTTCTCCACCTTATTTTTTGAGACAGGGTCTCTCACTGAACCTGGAGCTCACTGATTAGCTAGACTGACTACCCAGCAAGCTCCAGGAATCCTCCCATCTTATCTCTGTTCTCCAGGGCTTAGATTACAGGTGTGCACCACTGCTATGCCTGGCTTCTTACATGGCTACTGGGGACCGAACATGGGTCTTCATACTATGTAGTAGTCCTTTACCAGCTAAGCTATCACCCCAGCCTCGTAAGACTCTTTTTTTAAAAAATGCACAAGTAAACAGCAATAATTGGTTCAAAAGATCATATTTTAAAGATTTTATTTTATTTATTTATTTAATTTATTATGTGTATGTGTGTGTGTCTGCGCATGTAAATGCAGGTGCTTATGGAAGCCAGAGACCTCAAATCCCCAGGAGCTGGAGTTCCAGGCGGTTGTGAGCACCTGATGTGGTTGCTGAGAACTGAACTCAGGTCCTCTAGAGGCACAGTACATGCTCTTAACTATGGAACCATCACTTGAGTCCCAAAGGATCTTATTTATAGCTGTACATGGAAACTGGCAAATTATGATACAAAATTAATTCCATTATAACATGACACAATTATATATTTTTTCATATTTATCTGCAGTATAATTAAGACACGACTAGAAGGAAAACCTTATTGTTTTCTTCACACATGGTCATGATGGAAATCCAAACAGTATTATCAAGCCAAGTGTGGTAGAGTACATTTATAATCTCAGCACTTAGGAGACTAATGAAAAAAGACAGTGAGTTTAAGGCCAGTCTCTCCACTACACAAGACCCTTTTTCAAAACAAAGCAAAAATAAGTATTTTAAAGTTTCATGTTTACTTGTAATAAGAAAGAGTAAAGTACATACTATACTAAATCTATAAGGAAATGAAAAATTTTCTAATTTTTCTGGGCATGGTGGCACACACCTTTAATTTCAGCACCAGGGAGGCAGAGGCAGAGGCAGAGGCTGTGAGATCGAGCCCAGCCTGGTCTACATAGTGAGCTCCAGGTCAGCTAGGGCTATAGGGAGACCCTGTCTCAAAAACACCAAAAAAATTTTTCTAATCTTAATTCTGAGATTATTAACATTCACATTATTCAGCTTTTCAGATATGATTTTAAATACAGTCAGGTCCTGTAGTTTTCCAGTCACAATTTGGGTACAGTAAGTTGTCCTTAGGCTTATTCTGCCCTATGTCACCTGCTAAATAAAATTATTTATGTATTTCAGATCCTCTCATCAGAGCTTAAAATATATGATTATCATGTTTGGGATGAAACAGTAGAAGAGGAGCTGGAGTTGTAAGTCCAACTCTATATGGACTAGGTGGCTTCTTTTCATTTCTTAGACAAAATGTGCTTCTGTACTGTGGACTGTGGAAGGACTCTTTGTTACACACAGAACTCAAGTGAGATGAAACACATACAGCAAAATCTATATTCTTGAATACCATGTCTACAAAAGGCATCAATAGTGATCAGGACATCTTTTTCCACTGAGTTTCTAAAATTCTTCATAATGTAATTTTCCTGAGAATTACTACTAATTGACTGAAGTTAGACTATACCCAATCTTCTGTAGAAGGTCACCCATTTTCACTGAGTTACTTCAATTACAGTGAAACCAAGGCAGAGAACGCCTCCCCACCCCAATATCCTAAATTATTTAATGAGTCAGAAAAAAAAGAAGAAAAGAAAAAATAAAGTCACCATTTAAGGCACAACTCTAATAATAGTGAACACTTATCTCCAGCACTGAATAAGTACTGATCAACTCTTACAGGCATTGGAGGCAGAGTGGGACTGGAATAGATGTTATGGTTAGGATATGAGATGTCCCCTCGAAAGGCTTGTGTGTTGAAGGCATGGTTCCCAATGTACCAGTATTCAGAGGTAGAGCTTTGGGAAAGCAACTGGATGGTGAGGACTCTGACTTCATTAACATATTAACCCCTTGATGGACCTGTAATATGATGGCATTATTGGGAGTGACAGGAGGAAGTAGGTGAATGGGGGCATACTCTTGCTCCTGGCCCTTCCTAGCCCTGTTTCCCAGCTATCACAGCTGGAAGAACAATCAGCTCTCCTCTGACATGACATTCTGCCATGACCCACTTTGCTTCAGGCCCAAAACAAAAATCCAGCTGACCTCTGACTGAAACCTCAGAAACATGAACCAAAGAAACCCTTTCCTACATTGTTTCTCTCGGGTATTTGTTATGGTGGTGAAAAGTCTAACCTGAAGATGAAAGATTACTAAGTGTGATACCTACTTTCAAGGCATTCTCTAAGAATAGAACATGTTCCCAACTATCAGAGTAACTAATATTCACTGAATTATTTTTTCAGTTCTGGGGATTGAGCTCAGGGCCCTATGCGTGTCAGGCAAGAATTCTACCACTGAACTTCATCACCAACCCCTCTACTGCCTCCCTTTAAAATATTTTTTATTATTTATTTTTATTTTATGTGTATGAGTGTATGTCTACATGTATGTGAGTGCACCTGTGCCGTACAATGCCTATGGAAGTCAGAAGAGGGTACTGGATCCCCTGGAACTGGAGCTATGGATGGTTGTGAGCTGCCATGTGGGTGCTGGGAATTAAACCTAGGTCTTCTGTAACAGCAGTCAGTGCTCTTAACCACTAAGCTGTCTCTCTAGCTTCACCCCATTCCCACCCTTTGTTTTTTTCTAAGACATGGTCTCAACTCTATAGTGCAGGCTGATCTGGAACTCATTATGTAGCCTAGGCTAGCCTTGAACTTGCAGTTATCCTTCCACCTCAGTCTCCCAAGTGCTGAGATTAGACATGAGATACTATACCAGCTTCAGCCCTCCTCGACTTTTAAAAGTTTTTATTTTTGAGACAGGTTCCCACAAGGTTGCTCATGCTGACCTCAAAGTTGATCATCCTTTCACAGCCTCCCAAGTAACTGGAATTACAGGTATATGCTGCCATGCCTAGCACCTAGCGTTACTGAGCATTTTGTACATGCCATACACAATTCTCTATGTTAACTCAATCTTACAGTAACTACATTAGTAGATAATTATTATAATCCAAGGTAGAGTCTTATAAATATTCTCAAAGAAGTAGTGATCATAAAGGTGGAGATTAGGGAAGATCTAGAGGGGAGATGACATTCAAATGTGGCATTCTTTCTTTTTTGATACATGGTCTCCCTGTGGGTCCAGTTGGTCTAGAACTCATTCTGTAGACCAGACTGGCCTCAATCTCACAGAGATCCATCTGTCCTCTGCCTCCTGAATGCTGGGACTAAAGGCATATACCACCACACCTAGTGCATCCTTAATCTTAATTTCTTATAGGATTTTTTTTCTTGTATGTATGAGAGGAAGAGGCTATATTCAATGAAAAAGAATGGTATGTTTGAGTATGACTAGGGTAGTGCAAGCTTTTAGATGACTTTGACTGCAACTTCAGGCATTGGGTCTTTATTCGGCAAAAGTTGACATTAAAAGGCCTTTGATCTAGGGGAATGTTACAAAAATGACATTTTCATAATGAGAACTCTGGTATCAGTAATGATGGCCAATTGAAGAACAGAAAGACAGAGAAAAGATTAATTAGAAGGTTGTTAGAAAAGTCATAAGGCAGTGCTTTTCATACTATATGGGTCATGATTCTTTAACAGGTTGTGAAATCAGTTTGGGGTATTATTGGCTAGGAAGATAACTCAGTGCTAGCATGAGGGCCCAAATATATGAAAGTTTGACTCCCAAAATCGATGAAAAAAAGCCAGGCCCAGTGGTATACATTTGGAATCCCAGTGCTAGAAAGTAAAGGGGCAACCCCTGGGCCTTGCTGATCAGCCAGTCTAGCCTACTTGGCAAGGCCCAGGCCAGCAAAAGCTCCCAAATAATGACACATAAGGCTGTCCTCTGGACCACACACACACACACACACACACACACACACAAACACACTAGAACCTATGCTACAAGGGTACATATTGTTTTGCAAACTATCTCAGTTTGCATATATATCTATACATTTGATATGTATGATCATGTGAATGTTTAATAGATTCAAATGTAGTTTTTCTGCAGAACATGAAAAGCATGTTTGAAAAGCATGATTTAAGGGGAAGCTAATGAGATTCTAAATTAAAGTTATAACTTTGAAAATGGAAAAATCATATATCATTTGAGTGGTCCTTCAAAAAGTAGAATTAACAAGACTTAAAAAAGAGAATATGGTAGACTAAGTAATGGCTCCCCAAAAGATACCTGTACTCTAATCCCTAGAACCTGTGAATATTACTTTGTTTGGCAGAAAAGTATTTTGTCGATATGACTAAAGATCTTGGGATGGGAAATTATCCTCAATATCTGGTGTGTTCTAAATGCAAGCCCATGTGAGGGAGGCAGAGATTTCATACAAACAGAACAGAGGGCAATTTGATTACAAAAGCAGAAATTGGCATATGTGATCAAAGCCAAGGAATGTGGCAGCAGCCAGAAAATGGAACAGGTACGCTACAGGCATGTTGGCTCACACCTTTAATCTCAGCACTTGGGAGGCAGAGGCTGGTGGCTCTCTGAGTGATGGAGGCCAGCCCGGTCTATCTAGTGAGTTCCATGCCAGCTTTGGCTACAGGGAAACCCTGTTTCAAAAAGGAACAAGCAAGAGAAAAATTCTCTCTTGAAGCCTCAGAGAGAGGCTTGAGTTTTGGCTCAGTGAAACTAATTTCAAACTTCCAACTAACTTCTAAACTGAGAGAATACATTTCTGTTGAACCAGCCATTGAAAACTAATTAAAGACTGAGAAGCAAGGGCAAGTGTGAGGGTGGTGATGCTATAAATGAGAATAAAGAGCCTAGGAACTACAGGGATGGTGAGGATGAAAATTTAAATGCGGCAGGTTTGAAATACACATATGACAAATATGACTGTAAAGGTCATCTCAATTCTAACTATAAAAGATTTGGAAGACCTTTAAAATATTCAGGTTTCATACTATCTCTAATTTTCTTTAGACAACCAAACTTAAGAAATGTGGTTAACATATAGTCTCTGTCATCTGACAATTACTGTGGTTAAAACAGGTGCCAGCGTCTAGAATTACATACTGTCTCTGGAATTTTTATTTGACTAACTAGAAAATCCAAGAACCATTTGTTACCGTGGATCACTTACTTAAGCCATTCAGGTTGGCAATTTTTTCAATGCAATTTGTAGACAGTGAAAGCTTCCTTTAAAAGAACAAAGAAAAACTTGAGTTAATATGAAAAACCTAAA